TTTCTATTATGTTTAATGGAATTCCGGCTGGCTTCTTTGAATGTATTCATGGTGGCCGTCAGGGTGATCCATTATCTCCTCTTCTTTTTTGTCTTCCAGAGGAGGTTCTTAACCGAGGTCTAGTACATTTATTTGAAACTGAAAAAGTCAAAGCTATTTCTTCCCACGGTTGACATCATGGTTTTCTGTGAAGGGAACAAGGCTAGTTTGGTACAACTAACAACTTTCTTTGATGAGTATCGCTTGAATTCTGGACAATTGGTGAATAAAGCAAAGTCTCATGTTTATCTGGGTAAGTCAGATGTTCCTTGTCGGTCTCTAATTTACTCTTGGTTGAGAATTCCCATTGGAAGGTGATAGGGATTTTACCACCTACAAAAGTAGAGATAAAAACATTTAAAAATACTTGCAAGAGAACAAGGTTGTCGTAGTATAACAACTCAAGCAAGGTCGTTTTCCACAAGGATTGAATACATAATTTGTATTTATACTTATGAATTTCTACATACAAGCTTTGAAGGTTAGGCTTTCCTAATACACATTTTCCTTGTGATGTTCAAGTGAAAACGTATTTCTAACACGCATCTTGTCTGTGATGTTCAGATGAAATATAAACATGCAAGACTCATTAAGCTTGTGAAAACCTTTTGAAAAACCATGCAACCCTTAAGAGCGTGATGTTCGCCTTAAGCGAACTTACAATTACTAATCACAAGAAGCCCTCCTCAATTTCAGGGTGATGGTCGCGAATCATTAAGACAATTAGATAGTTTAACCGCGATGATTAATAATTCAAAGCATTCATGCACCAATTCATAAGTAAATTAATAAAATCACATATTCATGCTAAGGTTCATGGCTTTGCCCTGGCAAAATAACTAGTTACGAATGATCATAATAAAAACTAAAGAAAATATATTAACTAGAAAAAAGAATGAAAACACCTTGTAGGTAAAAAGTTCGAAGTTCTCCAAAATAATGCGTGTGTTCTCCCCCAAAACCTTAATGACTAAAAAGTCTTATTTATACTGCTACAAACTAAAACCCTAAAAAGTTTTAGAATAAAACTAGGAAACATAATAAAATAATAAAACAGAAAATAAAAGGTTTCCTATTTAAACTAAATTCGAACTTCTCAGAAAATAAAACTTTTGACCGACCAAATCAACTCCGATTTGGTCTCAAAAAGTCTCTTTTTAAAGCTTGAGACGTCATCTACAAATCTTCAGAAGGAATCTTCCTCAAAATATGTCATCTTGACCTTCAAATAGGGGTGGAAAATTTTGCTATAACCGATTTACCATACCGGTCAGCTCATAATGGTATGGTATAATTTTGGCATTTTTTCATAATTGGTTGGCATTTTACCGAACCGACAATTAATAGCATGGCTTTGGTAATTAATTTTGTATGCCAGCGATATGCCATACCTACCAATATATATATATATATATATATATATATATATATACACTTTTTTTTTGTCTATTTAGATATTTTAGGTACTTTTTACATGCTTGACTTCTCCCTACTGCTATAAATCAGAATCTGATTGTCCATACTCTATGCCGCAAGGGTGCAGCGAAATTGATGGCATGGAATGCATGTGAGGCTCACTAATATACTTAATAATCACAAGGATCCCAAACTTCCATATGCGAAGCGACTTGTCATCGCTGAAAGTAAACGGTTATTGTCCACAAATGTAATCGTATTCACAGCACCCAAATGTTGATCATACTCTTGCAAACCTATGGTTATTATCCACACTTTCCTTATTTGCAAACCACCTGTTGTGCCATTTACCAACCGAACCAACCAATAATTTTGGCTGAACCGATTTTTGGCAACCGCAAGAAGACTGTTGGCTAGCGGTAATTGATTTTCGGTAATTATGTATAAGTGGCTGGTTGATGGCACAAGGAATTTAGCATGGTTTGGCAACCGATCCCAGCCCTGCCTTCAAAATACCTAAAAAGTCCAGAAATGTTAATCTGGAAAAGTTGCGCACTAGGCCTTTATTTCATCGCCATGGTCAAACGACTTGGTAGAAAAATTTGAAACTTTGACACAATCATCTTTAAAGGGGCACAAACATCCTCCAATTGGAATCACTCCAAAATTCATCCGTTTGATCATTTTTTGCTCCAAACGAAGTCGAATAACCTATGTTGAAAATATATAACAAAGTATCAAAATTCTACTAAAATAACTAATATATTGATACTAAGATAAGGGTAAAATATATGGTATAATATGGACTCATTAGAAGGCTTCCCTTTATTTATCTTGGGTTCCAATTTTTGTTGGACGATCGAAAAAAGTTTATTTCCAAGTTTTGGCAGACAAGATTTGTAATTTTATATCTGATTGGCATGTTCATTCTCTTTCTATGGCTGGGAGGGTGACTCTTATCAATTCTGTAGTTGTTAGCATGTTATCTCACAATTTTTTCTATTTATGCTTGGCCTAAGACTGTTTTATTACAAGTTCACAACTAGGCTCACAATTTTATTTGGATAGGGAGTATAAATTCTCGGGCCTATTCCCTGTTTCTTGGAAGAAATGTTGTGCCCCTCTAAAGAAAGGGGGTCTTGGAGTGAGGAATTTTCAAGCTCTTAATCGGGCCTTTCTTTTGAAGAAATTTTGGGATTTTTTTACTACTACAACGGCTACTAGTTTCTTTCATGCACGATTTTTTACTAGTAACGGTTAGGTGTGCTTTCATTATAAATGGTCTTCTATTTGGCCTGGTTTGCAACCTTTACTTGTAGATATTAGTCAGAATTCCAAATGGTTGGTGGGCAATGGTGCTTCTATTAACTTTTGGCATGCAAATTGGATTGGTGATTCAATTGTTAAAAGGTTGGATATTCTACAATCTCTTGGTAAACTTCTGTTTACACCTATTTCAGACTTCATTCATAATGAGAATTGGTTTCGCCCTATTGATATAACTAGTGCCACCCTTTCTGCTATATGGTCTGAAACTTTGGCAATTAAGCTTCCCTTGTTGAGATTGGATGATAAACTAATTTGGTTGACTGCTTCCGATGGTGTACTATCTTTATCTTTGGCTTATGACTTTAAGCATATTAAGCAAGCAATTGTTCCGTAGAATAGATGAGTTTGGCGTAGATGTTTTCAACCACGTAATTCAAATTTTATTATGGCGTTTTCTTCACGGTGAGCTTTTAACTGATGATTTATTGCTTCATCGGGGATTCTCTTTTGTGTCGATGTGCTCTTTGTTTTGTAAGGCTACTGAGTCAACTCAACATTTATTTTTCGAGTGCTCATTTTCTTTGGAAATTTGGCGTAAGGTTTTAGCCTTATTTCAAGTTTCTACATTATTCTTCGATATCACATCATTTTCTTTAATATATTTTCACAATAATGTCTTTTTATATGATAGCAATGCTGGAGCGGATGTGACATTATTGTAATTAAAAAAAAATAGCTCCCACAAAATCTTCAAAATCCTTTCTATTCCCTTCCATCTAAACCACCCAAAACAAACCAGTAGACGCGTGTTAGACCAGTTGGCTCGAGCAGCGCACCCGCGGGCCCCCCCCCCCCAACACGCAAGTTTGAATCCAACTCCCTGTAAGATTACAACAGTTTAGAATATCGCCATGTCAAATAAAGAAAAACAATGATATGAAACAGTTAGCTGAGCTTCATTTCTATCAGCACATCAAAATTTTGAACATGCAGAACAATTCACATTCGTTGTCCAAATGGGAGAAACTGAATATTAAGTTTCCAGAAATGCACTTAAATTACATATTTAACAAAAATTAAAACTGATTAATCGCAAATATAACAAAAATTAAAATTGATTAACCGTAATTATATAAAATACAAACATATTAAATTGCGAGAGAAAACATGGGAGATAGAAGGCAAGAGAAATTACGGGCAACGATGGGCTGAAGGGCAGGGAGAGGGGGAGTGGAGATACTAGGCAGCTGAGGCGACATGTCGTAGGAGATTCTGACACCGCCCAGCTGACTGGTAACGAAACCGACGTGGGAAACTGCCTCCGCCTTGAAAGACTGTAGGAAGCGTCGGCCCTGCGGAAGCATGGAGTTCGGGTGGTGCCGAAGATCTTGTTTACCGGTTTAATGTCGAAAAATCTACATTAGCATAGTGGAACTTGCTTTGAAGATCATTTTCAATTGCGCCCGAAGTAGGCAATTACGCGTGCTACATGTATAGTGGTGTGCATTGTTGCTTCCTAGGAAGTCCCCTACGCTACCAATGAGTACTTGAAAAAGTTGTCGTAATGGTCTTATGATCTGTCAGTGTCTGCTTGTTTTATAATTCTTACTGTTGTGGCTATTTCATACATAGGATAGGAAGCCAAGCAGGAGAGGAGTTGAATTCTGCCTTGAATGTCCACCGAAGTTACGACCCTATCTGCACCCTATTTGATTAATGTTTAAATGTATTAGGGTTCTTACTTGGTTTTTCTTAATATTTAGGCAGCAGCAGGTAAAACCTTGGAAAATGATACAGTTAAAGGAAATGTTAACTCAAATTTTGGAAAAATATTTTCTTATTTAAAAGCACTAATCATAAAAATGATTCAATTGTCAATTTAACTGGGAAAAGGGAATGCCCCACTGATGTCATGCCAAGAAAAGTATATGTAGTAAAAACGGATGCAATTTCAGACAATATATTATTATTTTCCTTTTTTTTCATAACAAACAAGGTATCTGATCGGAGAAAAAAAAGATCGATAGTAGTAGTACAGGATCATAGAAGAATAAAAGAAAATATTTTCTATTTGTTTGATCAAGAAATTAGAGAACGAAAAATTATCATCATCAATTATCTTTTTACTTGGCATGACCACACCAGCACCATAATACCAGATTCTAGCAGAACTTATCAATAATTACACATGCTATTCTTATGATTTGTCCATCTGTATACAAAAGGAATCCAAAGAGCACAACAATTTACGTCGAGAACATTAGCACTTTCTCATCTTAGATCAAGGGAGGAAGCATCACGGAGGATGTAGCGCATGCAAGAGCCCCGGTCAGGCCAGAAATTGTTGGCTTGACGTTCGAACATTGAGAGGTAATAGTTCCTTTGGCTCCGCTGTAGGTGAGATCAATGTCAGCCAACTCCATATTCTCACATGGTGAGTCACTGCTGCACACAATCTTTAGTGAAAGTGCAGTTGCAGATGAGCCCTGAATGTTCTTGAAGCTAACATCGCTGATCTTAACTTTCGACGGAGGCAAATTATCACACTTATTATACGGGCAGTAAAGTTGGTCTATGACAATAGGGTTACTCACATTAACCATGATAATATCCTCAAAGTGTATATCTGAGGCAGCGGTAGCCACAGGAGAATTCGGCCATGTTTTGATGCGCACACCGTTCTGTGTGTTGGTCAGGGTGCAGTTCTTGACTATGATTCCAGCCAGGGATTCCTCATTGTCGTATCTTCCGAGACTTCCAATGCTAATGCCATGACCTGGCCCACAAGAAACGTTGGTCACCGCGATTTGGTTGTTGCCATCACCTATAGACACACAGTCATCCCCAGTTCCAATGAATGTATGAGTAATGTTTATCCCCGTTGATTTGCCGATATGGATTCCATCGGTATTTTTGCTGTCTCCGGGTGCTGTGATGTGAACATGTTGGAATGTAACATTGTTGCACCCGTAAACATGGACATGGAAGTTTTTGCTGTTAAGTGAAGTTACGTCCTGAATTATGGAATTTGTGACGAAGTCGAACCTCAGATTAACGGAACCAGAGCAGTGTTTGCTTTTGCTGCTGTTATTTTGACTCCAAACAAATGCTCCTTGGCCATCAAAAGTTCCGCCACCTGATACGGTGATCATGTCAACGTGCTGGAAACCAACCCAAGTCCCCTCCATTGTGAGGTCACTGTCCTTTTCTGGAGCCTGCAATGTTCCTTGCACTTGAAGCTCAATCGGAGCCTTGCAAGGACCTCTGAAACTTGCTCCACTTAACTTGTATGTTCCGCTCGGAACAACAACTTTACTAGCGGACGGTGATGCACACGAATCATTCCAAGCCTTGGCCAATGCAAAAGTAATATCAGAGCCAGGCTTTGCACCATAGTCGGCACTTGTCACATCAAAAACACCAGACTCATGAGCTTTAGTTGCAGATGCTAGCAATAAGAACACAAACATTCCCAGTACACTCATTTTCGGACTCATTTTGATTTTCGCTTTCTTGATTATTTTTTGTTTTCTTTCCCCAAGGGATGATGGAACTCCAGTTTCGTTTCGGGTGAATTTATAGTCCGATTCGAAGGCTCAATACCATCGACAAATCAACCAATCACTTGCTATTTTTATACAAGTCCTTAAGGAGTTGCAATGTAGTTCAACTTGTGTTGTGTATCCTATAATTAGTAAGCTTTTTGGTCTTAGAAGCATCCATCACCAACAAGATCTTGCTAAGTTGTTAATAATATGCTTTCCTCCTCAAAAGTCACCATAAAGTCAGTTGATATTTCTCAAGTTTCGGCCGACTAATGGCCGGACTTTCCAGAAAACGTTACCCGAGGCTATGATATTTGATGTAAAACAAACCTCTACCATATTCTCACAAAATACGCACTACAATGCCCTTTATCACCCAAAGAAAAGGGAAAATTCTGTCGTACGACGTACATCAACTATTTTAACCATTAGATGAGACGGTGAGACGGGTTCACTTTTTCCTCCAGAGTATATAGAATGATAATTGTCATTGGATCTGCAACATTTGGTAGATACAAAACAACACAACTATATTGCACTTGTAAAAATATACTTCGATAGATCAGACTATAGGGTTATAGGCTCTTTTATAACCCAAAATGAGTTAAAAATCATCTCCAATGAAGGTCCAAACCAAAGAAAAAAGAAGATCCATTGGGCCAAATTTCAGCCCATGGCCATCGGGCTGGGCAATTGAAGCTAGCCAGCCAGCCCGAAAAGCTAGGCCCAGTTGTCAGAAAGCTAAATGTTAGCTGACATCAGCTAGTCGTTGAATTTATTTATTTTTTATTATATTTTTTTAAGACGAAATTAAAAAAAAAAAAAAAATTTCAATTCTAATTTTTTCCTATAAATATTTAAACCATTTCTCATATCCATTTCACCCTTCTATACTATCTTAACTCATTTTATTTCAATTCTCCACCTTCTTTACACTCCTATTGGAAATTTTTTTTTCTCTTTTTTTTTTTTTTTTCTTTGAAGCAAAGCAAACATAACATTTCGAAAAATTATTAAGATTACATAAAGATAAGAAATATGAAGAGTTACTCAAACAATAAAGTTAAAGAACAAACTTAAAATAATAAATCATTGAAGGGACTAAAAAATAATCTCATTCGGTTGGAAATGGTATATAAATATGGTCTGGCAATGTTTATTAAAAAATAATTTCTTGCAGGGCTGTAATCAGGAGCTAAACATAGCCCCTTCGGTTGGAGATGGCCTAATCGACTGGACTTGCATTAGAGAGGAGCCAAGAACTTGTAGGCTGTAGTAATGAAAACTAGAGCTCAAGATTGAACACAGTATTTGAGTGGTATAGAAACAAAAAGTAGTTTGATTAGCGATCAGTCATGCCTTACAACAGAAAAAGTGTGGAAAAACAATAAAAGCAAGGATCATAACTTGCGAAGATCAATCCCGGCCTTCTTGGCAACAACATCAATCCCATTCTTCTCTATGGTCTTCAATGCTTTGGTTGACAAGCGGAGTTTGAGAAAGCGCTTCCCAGCTTCCCACCAAACCCTCTTGTACTGAAGGTTCACAAACTGCAACTTCTTGGTCTTGTGGGCTGAGAAGGAAATCTTGTTTGCCCTGTTTGCTTTCTTCCCAGTGAAAGGACAAATTCTACCTGCAATGGTCGATCAAATCATAAGGTAAATCAATTTTCAACATTCTAACGAAAATTAGTAAATTAATGAACGACCAATTGGCCGCGAGAGTTGAGAACAAATGCAACTACAAGGCGGATGCTATATCTTAAACCCCCAAGAGCCCAAAGAAACACCGAATCTCTAAAAACTGCTAATGAACGAAGACATTCCTTTGAACTCTGGGAAACAGAAGCCCAAAGGGCAGACAAAAAACAATGCTATGCTAAAGCTCAGTTAAACCAGCTCCGACAACATCTTCAAAAATCCATCTAAACCACCCAAAACAAAGCAAGGATCATACTATTCTTTTCAAACAATCTGATAACCAAATTGCCAATCAAGAATGTCGACAACGAAATTTTCGTGTTTACAAAGACAACCCATTTACATTTTTTTGGGATTAAAAAATGGAAAGTATAGTCAATTATTCTAGTATCAGACTATCTGGTGACCAAAATCACTGTGTTTCCCTACTACCATGTACATCAAATGCATTTGTACCCATATATTCCCACTCCAAGAAAACTAACGAAATGAGCAGACATGTGTTAGGCCAGTTGGCTCGAGCAGCATGCCCGCCCCCCTCACCCAAGTTCGAATCCAACTCCCCGCAGATTACAGTAGTTTAGAATATCTCTGTGTCAAATATAGAAAAACAACGAAATGAAACAATTAGCTGAGCTTCATTTCTAAAAATTTTTTTTGAACAAATGGTATTATCTACGCTAAGGGATGAGGAAGTGAAGTAAACCTCATAATGGACTAGTAATAATGTAGTCAATCTAGTTCAAATTCGTCTTTGCAAAAAACGAAACGTAAGACCTCTCACTTAAGCAATACCACGTGGAAGTGGCACATCAAAATTTTGATCATGCAGAACAATTCTCCCATTCTGATCCAGATATGAGAAACTGAATATTAAGTTACCATAAATGCACTTAAATTACATAATTGACAAAAATTAAAACTGATTAACCGTAATTATATAAAATACCAACATATTAAACTGCGAAAGAATACATGGGATGGGAGATAGAAGGCGAGAGAAATTACGGGCAACGATGGGCTGAAGGGCGGGGAGGGAAGGAGTGGAGATACTTGGCAGCTGAGACGACATGTCGTAGGAGATTCTGACGCCGCTCAGCTGACTGGTAACGAACCCGACGTCGGAAACTGCCTCCGCCTTGAAAGGCTGCAGGAACAACTTGGAAGCGTCGGCCCTGTGGAAGCATGGAGTTCGGGTGGTGCCGAAGAACACGGCGGCTGTTGCCGATGCTGCTGCCATTGCTGCTCTGCTCAGTGAACAGGAGCTCTGGGTGCTCGTTATCTGTATTTTCTGAAAGCGGATTTTGCAGTGGATTGAAGCCTCTGGTTTTGGAGGGCCATAACCTATAGAGTGGGCTGTGGGAATGATGGGCTTAATGTGCCCACTGGGCCTTGAAGAATTTTTCGAGTGGGCTCTCTCAAGTCTCAAACCTGTGTATTATTCCCAACTTTTGTAGCTATTGAATTCAAAATTTATAGGGTAATGTAATTAGAGAGTGGCATTTTTGAAATTTACTTGCTATTATTATTTCTGAGTACATTCGATAGATTTTTACTCTAAACTAATTTAAAGGGAATTGGAATAAAAAAATTATTTTAAGAAAATTGGAGGGTTTGAACATGAAACATAGTGAGTTAAAGAGGATCCTTAATCACCGAAATAATGCACCACTTGATATATTTTTATTCCCTACTTTTAAGTAAAGAAAAGGGAGCAAGCCAAACTAATAAATGTAATTTTTCTTTAATAGGACGTTTTACTAAGTGATTTGGAAAATCAACTATTAGCTTCTGAATCGTTGCAAACATTATATCTTGCATAAAATCCGTACAACTGAGTAGGATATAGCATTGTAGTGAGATCCAATAAAATGAGAACAAAAGTTACAAACAATAACTATCTATAAATAAAATAAAATTTAAAAAGAAACAAATGATGCTTTACCCCAATAATGGAGAGTAATATGTATATGCACTTTTGGTGTGAGTTCGATTCTCACTGATTTCCTCACCCAAATAGCTAATTGTCTAACCTTCTAACTATATCGCTTGACTAAAAAATTAAATTCTCACCGATTTCCTCACCCTAATAGCTAATTGTCTAACCTTCTAACTATATCACTCGACTAAAAAAATTAAAAAAACCAACACTCGCTTTCCCTTTAATCATGACAATTGCGGTGAAGTAAACAATCTTCAAATTGGGGATGTTAACTTGTAAGGGTAAAACGGGTATTAGAGCAACTACAATGGAGAAATGCAAATTTGAGATTTAAAAACAATATTTACATCTCATTTTACACTTGAGGAAATTATAGCAATGGTTCTTCAATTTTAACTCTTAGAGGAATAGTTCCTTAACTAAAATCTGTGACCTCCCCTAACTCATTGAATTGTACAACTATGATCATTTTCGTCAACTCTGTTAGAACTTATATGGTCCTTTTCGTCAAGTCCGTTAAAACTTGTATGATCATTTTCTTTAACTCCATTAGAACTTACAAGTGTCATTACGAGAGTCTCTGCTCAGTGACATTTTTAAGATTGCTTCCACATCTTGTTTAAGAACTCTCTATCCTTGTAAGTTCCAACTCTCTAATCCATCCGTTTTGCAGATTTGTTTATTTTTATGAGGGTAAAAGTAAAATAGAGTTGATAGAACAAAAATAGAACATTCAAGTTGGGTTTAGAAAAAAGAAAACTAGACAGAAGACAGCCATCTAGTCGGGTGTCAGATTCAAGTACGTAGCTGGATAGAATGAAAGACGAGACAACCATGTACAGCGGTTGAGTAAGTTGTGTTCGTCGACTTCTTTCTACTTGTTTTACTTATGACTTGGATTGTTGGTATAAATCCATTCAACAAAAACACAAAAATATGAAAAAGAGAATCATAATCCTAATCCCGCAAAGACACAACGCAGTTGCTGCCGCCACCACAACCACCTCGTCAGCAGCCACACGGGTAGTTGCCCTAGGAAAATCAACTCCGCTTTGAATTCGACCAAGGCATTGCAGCACAAAAATTTCTATCCCGCAACAAGAAAACGGCCCCAACCAGATTTTGTCACCAAAATCACGGCACCGGAGGAGAACCACCAGAATTCGACTAAGGCATTACGAAATGAGCATTGTCACGAGCAACCAAATACGCTCAATTTGGAAACTGAGCCTTGTAATGATCAAGTGAAACATACTCCACAGTCACAATACGATCCTCAAAAGCCCGTCCATGTAAACAATGTGCTGCCTTTAAAGAGGCTTCTGCTCTAACAAACTCCACAAAAACACACCCGGGCTCAAATATTCTTGCAAGATCATAATCCTGGTCCTTCCCATGATCCGTCTCATTAATTTCACTCTTTCGAATAGCATCTGATTCTGTTCCAACACTGCCCTCCTTTCCAGCAAAAGTTTCTTCTCTCTCAATACCAACTTCCTTTAGAGTTGAATCCTCTTTAGCCATTGATTTGCTTTCCAAGCTTACGTCCTCTATTTTAATATCAGTAACCAAATCATCATAGCATTCCAAAGCATCTTTCATACCGTTCAGCTGGTTCGGGTGTTCCCCAAGAACATTGTTAGGCAGGTTGTCGCTTCCTTCAGCTTTCATATTATCATCTGATTGACCCATTTGACATGATTTTTCCTCTCTAAAACCATCTGCAGGCTTAACATAATAGAACCGGTTGTCTTCTGTGAATTCCTCTTCTTTTATTTGTTTGGCATTGCTTGGAATCTCCACTCCACTAATTTCCCTGGACTCATTTGCAATATGTTCTTCTTTAGCGTCTATTTTTGCTCCAGTTTCTTCGGACGCTAAGCTCTTCTGGTAGCCTCCAGATTTCGCATCATTAACAGCTTCAGATGTCCCTGGGGTGATGATGTGATTGTTGCGATACTTGACAACCTTTGCAGATTTAATAGTACCAAACCTGCATGATTTAAGGGCTTTAACACTTGCTCAAATAAAGCTTAAAAAGAACATGAACAAAAAATGAATGCGAAATTTCTCGGGGACCTGGCACACTCTAATCGCACATCTTCCAGAACTTCTTCCATTTCTGGTTCTGAGAGCAGTGAGAAGTGCTCAAGATTGAACTAATTCACATCGAGGAACAATTAGGAAAATGATAAAAAAATTGATCCCAATAGATTATACTAACAAACTTTAGGATCCCATATAAATTGTCAGATAAAAAACAATTCATCAAATAGTTCTTACTACAAGATACCCATTGTGTATTGTAGTTTTTCTATTCACCGTATGATTTTAAAATTTGTCTTGGTGACAAGAAAGTAAAGGACACGTCAGTTACCATAAGAAATAAGAATTGAAACACAAAATCAAGCACAACCGCCATACCACATTTCTAAGCTTTAGGACCTGCGATGGTTGTTGGAGAAGTGGCTTTGCATATTCTGGTATCTCATATGATGTATTTCCGCTATTTTCCTAGCATAAGTTTAATTCTTCCATCAGTAAACATGTCCAAGTAAAATGACAAAAACGGATAATGAACATCATCCGAAAAGGAAGAGGGTGTTATTTGTACCAAGGATGATGCACCATGAATTGCTTGAACTGCAGTTAGGACTCTCCCTCCCAATTTCATACCGTTCAGACCCGCACACGCTTTAAGAGTAACTGATTGGTCTACATACTGACACAGTATCCAGATCTCATTAGCAAAAAGGAGGGGGCAATGGCAAACAACCAAACAACTAAAAGATTCAACACTAGAGAGTTCGAAATCAACAATGGCAAACAACAACACAAAGGCATGCGTCTTTTCCAAATAAATGTACTAGTACAACATGGTAATCAAACTACAAACAGATAAAATTGATGCTTACAAAAAACTTAGTACATTTGTTTATAAAGAATATACTTCAAACAAAAATTAACTTGAGCCTTCAATATGCTCTATTACCTCCACAAAAGCACACGGTTCATTAAGTTTCTCATTGAACTCAAAGTGGTACGCCTTCAGAGGTCCAAAGACACTAATTATCTCCATAAGCTGGAAAAGCAGCATTAATGGCCAAGTCACTAAGTAGGTCAATGAACATAGGAACTGAAAGATGGGATCAAATTTGTTGGGAAAAGAGAACTATATGAATAATTAACATCATTTCATATTACCATTGTTGATGAAAGAGCATTTGAAATTCCACCAATGAAAATCTGCATAAATAAGCAGAGAACATGAAAGAAGTTCCAGGTATCAACAAAAGAAAGCAACATATCACAGCATTGAAAATGTGGTACAGAATCAAAGAAGAAGAAAACATTTGAAAATTCAAAAAATCTGAAGCATAGCTATATTAGTAGAAAGTAGAACCTAGATGCTAGACATCACATGAAAAAAGATTACAACCTCCCAGAAATAAAAAACCATTCATGCAATAAGATAGATGACAGCACGCATAGATTTTGTCACAAATAAAAAAGTAGCATGTTGGTACACACTAAAGAGACTTCAGAAATCACTAAAACACAAATGTTCTCTTGATGCATAGGAGCTAGACAAATGATTTATGCATTAAGGTATAAAGAGTAAGACTTAGGTACAACTCCTTATGTCAGGTTCCATAGGTTACGTTAAAAAGGTATAATTTGATAATCAGATTCAAGATTACAATTCATTACACTCTTGTACAATAGATGTGTACTATCACAAAAGTTCATTAAATTTTAACATCATAATGAATGTCACAGCTTGCAAAACAAGTAAACTTTTCTTAATAAACTATTTTATTTTATTTTTTTAAGATATTGATCATGACCATCACAGTTGATGCTGAATAGATCCTAATGCCCTTCAACTGTATATTTCACATTATGAAACCCTTGACAGGGAGAGTGAGTCACAGTTAACTGGTTCATTGTTTATTCTTTTGATAAAGTTGATCTGTTGTTTATTGCGCACAAACCTTTTGACCTTTTAATGTGTTACTCATCTGTATTATATTTCTAGTACAAATATTATCTAATCAGGATACCTTGTTGGGGGAATCCTTCACAACATCACTTATTGTCTCAACCGCGGCCATTGATTTCTCTGAGTCACCAGTCTGCATGAAAATAGCAACTGTCTGAAAACCTGCTCCATGGATAGTAAGCACAACATACCTCAGAATTTGAAAAGCAGTAACCGAAAGTACTTCAGCCAAATAAAGTTTAAGCTTATAGCAAAGAAGAGTATAACCATATTGTAGGAACTAGAACTAAAAACTTAACGAAACCAGGGCTTCTGATTTCACTTATGTTATCCAGAAGAAAACATGCATAAATACGATTCATTGTAATTAATTTGTTGGTCATATTTATATTTAATCAGATTAAATCTACCAAACTCCATAAAAGATCCTTTATGACAATCTCAATTTCAAATTTGAAAAATTGGTAAGGTAAACAAAAATCAATATGGTCTTTTATCAATGACATTAATTCACATCCCGAGTAGGAAACCATGTAATTGACATATTAGGTATTATTTTCATCCCGTGCTAATGGTTCGATCAAAAATCTAATTAATTTATCATTCATTGAGTAGAGATATATAAGGTTCAATTTTGATAGAGTACAGAGTCAATCCAATGAGATCATCCATTATTCCAAGAATACCAATAAGCATTTACAGATAGAAAAATGTCAGGTTAGTCATTTAAATGGAAGATAATTTCAATAAATTGTTAAGTTGAAAAAAAATAAAAATACATAATAGACTATAGTGCATCCATGATAAGCTAATAAGCTAGCCTGTAGGGAAAATGAATAATGACTACAAGCCTACAAAAGAAAACATTTGGCCAGATGGTTTGTTCCCATGCAGGCGTGCAACAAGACAAAAGGCAAGACTGATAAGGATGAATGAGTTTATTCAACCAAGGACAGACATATGAAAATCACCAGAGGACTTGAATTGATCTGTAACTGTAATAGTCTAATAGTCTAACACTGCTACTATCTCTCTCTGCCCCACTCCCTGACGTCATAATTGGGCATCTCTGGACTGGCTGGGAAAACTGGATGGCTTCCATATATTTGTCTAGAGCTCAAAATGGCAGTACTTATAATTATACTAATTAAATAATTAAGCACAGAATCATCCAGTGACAGCAGCTATACTCCTCAAAGCATGTTCTTTTTTTCAATTATGGTGGTGATGCTAAATACAATACTCAATGGACAACCGAAATTTCAGTAAAGTTTCAAAAACACTATAAAATAAGCCTATTACAACATGCTTATCGTGAAAAGGATGAAAGCTTATCAAGGCTCAAGAAGCAGATAATACCACTGGGAGTGAGAGAAGGTATCCTAAAAGACAATATTAAATGCAATTTTTATGTTGAACATTAAATCAAGCCAACATTGTGGTCCATATCATTAATATTACTACTTCAAAATCCTAGATCAGTGACCCAGGTCCAAATCAAGAGAAGAAGCTGCAAGCACATCAAACTTGTCACTACACCTGAAAATCTTCTTATTTAGGAGTCAGCTTCATCACCATCCTGAATGTGAATTACGACACACCCAACATAAACATCCTATTTAAGAGATTACAACATGACAGTCAGAAAAATTCTGGTGTAACAGGACAAAATAAATAATTCCATGTACAACAGAAAGCTTGTGAAGTTACAGAAACATATCCCAATGTTATATTTAACAAGCAATCTTGATTATGCTTCCAAGGTGAAATAAATAACAAGGCACCTGTGAAAACTAAAAATGCCACCAACTAAAATTTCACAGCAAATAACCAAACCCTAGTCTTAAGGATGTGTCTCTATGACCAGCTCCATCTACAAAAGGTGCAATGACCAGGAAGTCAGGAACTCAAGAATAGGATAGATTCAATCGGATTCGGCTCGGCATTTTCTTGCATTTCATACGTCCATCCCTTCCATTTCATAAAGAAAAGAAGACGGAAGTATGAATTAAAAAAAAAAAAACAAATAGCCAAAGAGCAAACAAAATAACCACTTTGTTAGATTATGTAATTTGAAAAGCTATTTGTATTGAATGATTTCGTAGTAGTCACCCCTAAGACATATGAAATAATAGAAAATAACAAGAAATAATAGAAAATAACAAGAAATAATATGTCACGGATTCCACAAAGAAAATAACCGAAATACATTTTCAACATATAACAGAGAAAAATAAGTGGTTAAACAGCTAAAATAAGAACAAAAAATTCAAGCAGCATAACTTCATAGATCGTATATCAAAAGAATAAGATCAAACAACTAAAAAGCAACATAAACCAGTATAAAGCAACAATGGGATAAAAATAAAATAAAAAAAAGGTAAGATGAGAGGAAAAAGTTATTTAATCATTCTTACAGCCACTTCAACAAAGTCTTTAGGGCGCCTTATTTTGAGAATAGAACCAGAGATGTCGGTGCCATCAAAAGATAGAGCAGCTAAAGCGTCTTCCGGTGTAAGAAACTCCACAACAGCTTGACCTTTGTCTTTGGTAATCTGCAGTTAAAATAGTTAAGGCAGGCCTCATCCCTAAGTCATAATTGGGATAAACATTCAAAATTTACTACGCTTACCGCACAACTAATGCATGGGCGTGTTCCTGGGATATGATTGACACCCGAAGACAACAAAAAATTATTAAGAGATTCCACTAAAGTGTTCTCAGAGGTTGTAGACGGAACATTGTCTACATAAAGCCTCCTCATAGGCCGAGTAGCTTGTGTTAGTTGGACCGAGTCAACAGAAGCATTCTTCTTAGTCAATAAAGAATTAGGATGAACCCCAGATATAGATTTCCTAGTAGCCGAAGCAACAGCAACAGCAATGGCCATCTCATGTACATTTGAAGACATGTTACTGTTTGATGAATTAAAAATAGAAGCAATTGAACCAGATAATACCTTGTCAGTTGCCGTAGGGGGATGATCCCACTTGGCACTTTTCTTTTCAGGCGAACGGTCAGGTGGGGATGGAGTCTTAAGAGCAGACTCGGTTCTTCTCTTCCTCGGTGAATAACCACCAAGCCTTTTCACTGGCCCACCATGTCGGCGATGGTGGCTATTGGAGCCATTATTAGATATTCTGCTCCTGTCAATATCAGAATCCTGTGTTCCAGGCTTCTCTTTGAGGGAATGTGAAGATATCTCGCTGCGGATCCTCAAATTATGAGATGTATACTTGTGTGCCCTTGGTGAGGGAGACCTAAATCTATGTGTATCCTCACGGTCTCTACTCCTTGACCGTTCCCTTTTTAGCCTTGAATTTTCGAAATTGGATTTTGATGATTTTTTCCTCTCCTTTCTCTCTGAACTTCCTAGCAGATGATGTTTCCCTGAATCATGCTTCTTTGCAGCATTTCTGTCTCTAATTTTTTCATCATATCCATTTTGGTATTTTCTCTTGGCTTCTCTTTCAGATCTTCCTCTGTTTTGGCTCGTGTGTCTCTCCTTTCCTATCGAATCCCTTGAATGCTTCTTTACAGATTCTTTTTGGAAGTTATCTGACCGCTCGTCAATTTTTCTCCTACCATGTATTTGTTTTTCAGTTGTGCCTCCTTTAGCTTCAGTTCTTCTATCTTTGCTCGGTTTATCCTTCAAGCTTTCTGGCTCATGCCCTCCCCTAACTCTACCTTTGGAAAAACCGTCTTCCATTTTAGAACTCTTGGAATTATATATTTCTTTCTTTCTGGAATATGCCTTCACTGGATCCTCGGAGGCAGGCTTTTTATCAACAGGGGGCAAATCTTTATGGTGTCTGTGATCCTTTTCAGACTCAAAACTGTCAAAAGAATTTTTAACCATAGATTCCCTTGGTACATTACCTACATCTACGACTTCCTCTACGACACTATCACATAACTTCTTGTTATTCCTCCTAAGCATAATCTCTTCAAAGCTGAAAGGCCTTGTTCTAGCAGCACTTTCTTCATCATGGTTAGGCAGGGCAATCCGGCTAGTTTTTCTGTTAATTTCTTGTAGCTGACTAGACGTGCTCATCTGTCCCAATGCAAGTGCAGTTAAACAATAATTGCTGAGGTTCTAATAGAGCATAGAAACAGTTTAAACCAGTGCGCAAAGAGGTTAGTAGCAGCCTTGTTTTCTATTGACAAGTCAAAGTGAATATCACTGCACCAAGAAAAAAATGCACGTGATATTAGTCAAAGACCCATGTGGATCAACAAATTTTAGCCCCACTCACTACATTCCAGAACATAATGATAAAATAGTTTCGAACAATTCATGGATACAAAGAAGACTGTAAAAGGTAAAGAAACTATAAAATCATGAAAACTAGTGAAGCAGATCTGCATATTTGTTTTATACATGCTACATGAATGTGTGTCTGTATCATGTACCAAATTTCTTATCTATATGCGTGATAATAAGCACAATTTTCACTCCAAAATGTACACCATTCATGCAATGCAATCAAAGTTTTAATAAAGGCCATTGGAAACTACCCGTGTCTTTCTGTGTGGTACAGTAAAACACAATTGTAATAGCACATTAACGTCATTTAGAAAACCAAAACCAATCCAAAGTTGATGAATTGTCTAGTGCATGCATGTGACATTCACTGCTAATGTATGCGTCTATAAGTCTTTTACACTCCTACACTGTTGCACTCTTGATACATTATGATTCGTTTCCTACATTACCACACCAAACCTACCTAAATTATGAGTTTCATTCAAAATACAACATTAAGATATGGAAAAGCGAAAAAGGTTAAAAGTATACAATTTATTATTCATGAATATATAAGTTACAAAATATGGGTAGGAACATTAATGATTTGTCTCTTTGACCATTATGTACTATACTTAATCAAAATTAAAATGGCACCCAAGAATCAAGTAATTCAGCCAATTATTTAGATTAAACACAGCAATCCCACTTTCACTTTCATTATCTTTCCCCTGTTTTCTCAGCAACCAAACGGAATAAGCAACAAAAGCCCAGTTAAACCCCAACTCCAAGTTGCAGAAAAGCATAACCTCAACTTCTTACGAAACGAATAAAGAAGCTACTTAGATAAGAAACGATTATCTTTGCAGAAAAGCAGGAGAAAAGGTTGTACCTTTGGGACGGAGATCCGGCGGCGAAGTAGGCCGAGAGAGGTGGCGTTTCCGAAGGCTTAGCGGCGGCGGCAAGAGGCGGAAGTGGTAGTGGGGTGTGGAAGAGAGTGCAAAGGCATTTATGAATTGGTGGAGAGAGAGTTCCGGAGTTAGGGGGAATTGGGAAATTGCGAAAACGGGAAAACCTAATTGAGAAAGCAGAGAGGTGGTGGTTTGTTTATCCGCACACAAGGAAGTAGGGGTGTGCATTTCAGTCTACCGACTAACCCACCCGATTTAGGTTGGGTTGATATGGGTTGGGTTGGGGGTGGGGTAGGCTAGGGTTGGGTTGGGTTGTAAACCCAAAATCAAATTATTTCTATTAAAAATCCGACTACTCAGTTAATAGGTGGATTGTGTTAAGTTGAAACTTGAAAGTATTATTATTTTGATTAAAATTTATCCACTAGAATGACAGGAGTTTTTAAACATACATGTATGATATATATTAAATAAATTTATACATGAAATTTAGTCCCTTTTAAATGTACTTGTTTGTAATTTAATGCTTGATTTGAATAGTAAAATTCATGTATTAGTAACATGTACTGATATAATAACATCAAATTCACATGATTTAGGCCTAGTTTGAAGTATAATTATATGCTCTCATACTTACATTAAGAATAAGAAAGAAACCAGTCAAGCCTAACTCGTGGAATCCGCCCAACCCAACTTGCCTAAAAATGACTTGGATGGGTTGGGATGCCAATTTTCTTGGGTGAAAAGAGTTTGAACATTTTCAATCCAAGCTTATTGGATTGGCCAACAAATTAGAGTCTAACCCGACCAACCCACCTGTGCCACCCCTACAAAGAACAAAGTTGCGCTTCTGTGAGGAGTTTGGTTTGCCCTTTTGCCCACACTTGTAATATGACACTTCCATCCATCCCTCTATTTCTTTGACGCTTAATTGGTTTATGTAAATCGTCAATACTTTACATAATTTATACCAAATGGAGAATTTTTTTTTGTTCGAAACCGGACTAGAGCCAATGAAAGTTAGGGTGTGACTAGATAGTGCTGTAAATCGTCAATTGTCATGTTATTATTATTATTTTTATATAATTACAAATTTACAAGGAATATTATTACATTAAGCTAGATTTGAACTTTGAATGTAATATGTCGAAAAAAAAGGCTAGCGATTAGTGTAAAACGCCACTTTTGCGTTGTCGCATAAGTAGAGTAGTAGAATGATAAGATCATGTAAATGTACTTCGTATTAGAATAAGAAATTGTTATTATTTCAAACTTTCTATAATTAGAAAGAAAAATGCATTTATGATGAGTGTAGAATGAAATTTTTGGAATGTTAATAACAATTCCCTATAAATATAATCAATATATTTGTTGATTGTTACATCTCCGTTATTAAAGTACTCAAAGACTTATCATTCTGATTTGTTGATTGTTACACTTGGCCCCTTTGTTAGGTTAAGCACTTCCGTTTCTTGGAGGGACAAATGGTGTTTGTATTCACAACTTTCAGGGATGTTTTAGCAAATTACTTTAGAAAGTGACCAAATTGTTACATTCCTAAGCCACACAGTTGCAAAATGTCGTTGCCCTTAGGTTGGAGAATTGCGAGTGCACCCTAGAAAAGTGGAGTCACCCTCAATGTCTCCAAAACATGGCAATATGGAGGCACTCCCTTAGGGTTGGGGATCCTCTTCGGATTCTCTTTGTGAGGATTCTAGAGGTTTTCATATCCTATCCGTTCATTGTATATCGTGCGATCAATTTTCGTTAGGTATTGTTTGTGTTTAATCTAAACTACATATTCAAACAAATCTCATTGTCAACCGAAACATTATGAATTTACCATTTTAACCATCTAATTAAAATTTAACATGAATAAGAAATATGGGTAGAAATATAATTTCACATAACTAAAATTTTGTTGTTTTTTTTTTCAAAGCCTCACCTACATGTAATTTATTTGGATTCCATTCAGATCCTCCTTGTAAGAATCTTAGGAATCCTCACACATTATCCGTTCATCGTACATCGTGCGGTTAGAAATCATTATGAATTTTTTTATTTAAAACTAACATATGACCATACACAGTGCTTGTAAAATTTTGTTTTTTATGTTTTAAAATAGGAGAGCGCAAGAGAGCGAGGGAATGTGGGAGCGGGGAAGGGGAGCTTCGATTTTATTTTTTTATTAAAGAGAGAATGGCTGCCCTGGGAGGAATAAGGATCCTCGCCGAATTCTCTTTGTGAGGATCCTGAGAATTCTCAAATCACATCTATTCATCGTACATCCTGTAATAAAAAATTACTGTAATTTTTTTTGTTTAAAATTGAATATAAACAGTATCTGACGAAAACTGATTGCACAATGTACGATGAACAAATGTGATTGAAGAATTCATGAAATCCTCACAAAGAGGATCCAGTAAGGATCCTCTCTCCCCTAGGAGAGGCCTTGTTGTAGCCTTGTGAGCCTTAACAAGGGGAAGAGAACTGTAAACAAATTGAATCATCCAAAAAGCAGAAGGAAGAAAACGGGCTGAGAAAATTAATAAATAGTCTGAAATTGCACAAAACAACTAATATTGTTCAAGGTTTGGAATAGTTTATAGCCTTGAAGGTTCATCACGAACTCAAGGGTTTAAAAACAGCAGACAATGATAAACAAAGGTTCAGCTACTAAGCAAACTTTGGCATAATCGCCTTTTCACCAAGATATTTACATTGCTAGCCTTCCGTTTATTTCACCGGACATTTTCCCTTCGGCGCACATAACGGGTTCTGTCATTGTATCTTGGTCTGTCCTGAGCTCTCGAGGGCTGCGGCTCCACCCTCCTCTGCCTCTCAGGTGATCTTTGAACAATTTCTCCATTCACATACAACTCAGCTGCATTGAAGAAAGTTACATGAGTTACGAGGATAGGTTGCATTTAGAAATTTGAAAATAATTGAGATAATTAACAAATTTAAGAACAAGCATATCCATTTAAAACAGGGGTGAACTTGGAACGGAGGGAAGCCAATAAGCAGAAAAAGCATAAATCAAAGTTAGCAAATTGAAAGCAACACAAAGTAAATGAGAGAATATGGCATCAAATATGAGTTAAAAGCCTAAGCTGGCTGAAATATCAAATGACAACTTGTCACCAAATGTATCGACTCCAATGATTCCGTAACTCCACAACATAAAGAAGCAACAGAACAGGATGGAGTGGATCATTATGAGTCCATTAGCATTCAAAGCAAATCATCGCCACTGAAGGCTATTAGCTTTGCCAAGATGGACTGGAAGTTAGTATAAAAGAAAAATATTGGTTTAATCAAAAGAACTGTCAGCAAGGTTATCTTTTTAATGATAAAGGTCATCAAATGTATCAACTCCAATGATTCCGAAACTCCACAACATTCAAGAAGCAACAGAACAGGATGGAGTGACTCATTATAAGTCCATTAGCATTCAAAACTAGACATCGCCAACTGAGGGCTATTAGCTTTGCCAAGATGGACTGGGAGTTTAAAGAAAATAAATATATATGTTAATTGGACAAACTGTCAAAAAGAATTTTTGAAAATATAATGTTAGTCAATAATCAATTCATCGGAGCAACTTCATAAAATTAAAAAAAAATAAAAAACCCAAGGAAAGATGAACACGCATAAAAATTGCAAAACACTGAAATTTCACATAGCATGTTTCATCTCTACTGATCCGCATCTCCACAAAGTATAAGAAGCACAGAACAGTTAAGAGAGACATTTGATGTAAGTCAATTAGCATTCAAAGTTAAATAATGCCTGCAAGGGCTATTTAACTTCTCCAAGATGGACTACGATTTTTAAAAAGAATTCCGGTGAACCGTAGTACATGCTAAGATACACATATGGTGAACCAGTAGTATCTCTAATTTATGTGCTCCACTAAGACAAGTACACACATGAACAAAAATCTTCTCTAGCACAAATATGCCGCTTTATTGGAACGACCACGCTGATTAAAATAAGAACACACGAGATCTAATTCACACTAGTGCTTATACTTTAAATCCTTAAACACTTACCACCGTAGTCTTTGTACTCGGGATCAACATATGAATCCGGAAGAACAAAAAGAACACCCGGCAAGCCTGATAACAAGAAAATATTTCATAAAGTCAAATGATACAAGGAGACATGCACTCATGAGCTCACAAACATGCATAAACAGTATGTATAATCTAATAATCACACACAGAAACTATAACATAGTTTCAATTTAATAGCACAAACCTTCAAGCTTATTCGAGGTCTCCTCATCAATCTCACAACCAAAACCAAAATACCTCTCACAAGAGACATTGTATATCTTCTTCTTTGCTTCTTCGTCGCTGGCATACCACAACAAGCAACAAAACTTTAGCGTAAACAAATTCCGAAGATACTAAACAAAATCAACCATTCAATTATATACATATCTTGATTCCCAATTAAGCAGACATATCTATCAACGTCATTCGTCACACCACCAAGAACAATAGCTAAGAATAAATAAGCTAAAATCTCCTATAAATAGAAATCCCTGTTGAAAATACACTATAAATATAATTCAGATATATCAGAAACGTTAATTTTCTTTTTCCAGTTATTTTCCTTCATTTTCCCAGCAACCAAACAATAAATCAAAGAACCCATTACCTCCCGACGACCTTGGCCAGGGTCTGAACATAACAATCGATCATCTGCTGCTTTGTAGCACCCTCGCCGCCGGGCTTATCCATGACGATGAGCCAGTGCTCGTAGTCACAACCAGGAAAAAGCGGGGCCATTTCAGTGGGTGGACGGTCGCTGAAGTTCGAACCCGAGTTGAGGGGCGAGTAAGAACCGCCAGATCGGTTGACCCGGCAGCGGATCGGAATGTAGCGGGTGGTAGGGGTAGGGAATCGGACGGCGTGGGAGATAGGGGCAAGGGATCGACGGCCGAGCATGAGGGCTGGGATGGAAGGGGGATTGGTGAATTTGGAAGTGGAGAAGAGGCGTTTGGGTACGAGGAGAGAGATTGTGGGGTGGCGAGCGGTTGCGGTGGTGGTGGCGGTGGCCATGGCAATTGCTCGGATTAGGGTTTGAACCATTTTTGGGGGACTGGGGAAGAGTGAGTGAGGAAATGAGATGAGGGTTTAGGGTGGGGGATAAGGGTGACGGAGCATTTATCTTCGAGTTTTTTTATTAGGTATTTTGGGTTGGGCCATTACAACTGGTATTGGGCTACTTTCTGGGCTTGAAATCGATTTTTTTCTAAATAAGGCCCACTTCTCCATCGCTTCATTTCTATCATGTGTACCGTCAGTTATGTAATGGGATTGTCCATAAACAATATTTTCAGAATCCATGCTCAATGTTCATGCTTACATGATTATGCACGTCAAAACTAAATATGAGTAGTAACTCATTCTCTTATAAGTTCATGCAAGGTCGTTCATTTTATCAATGTGAGACTTATTCTTAACATGTCCTCTCTCGTATCTCCCTTTGCTATTTCAGTCAAACAAGAAATAGCCAATTATCTGCTCCTATCCTCTTTTCATATGTACCTAACAACATACAACCATAGGGGTTAAGCAAGCCCGTAGATGACCTAACAAAATAATACGCAAAACCAAATACAACACAAAAGTTTCAGAGGTTCCTTCTTTGATTCACTTGGGGCGTCCAAAACTTTTTTCACTAAAATTGCCTTGCCTCTTTTGCTAAAAAATGCTCTCCAAGTAGTGTCTCTTTTCCTAGTAGACTGCGAAAATAAAACAAAAATAAGAGTAGCATAATTATGGTTTAACTAGAATCATTGGCTTCATAGATGACACACTCCGACCCGGAATGTCCACTAGGACTCCAAATTGAGCTGTGCTGGCTGACACTTGGAAAGTGACGAAGCCATAAAGTGTAGTGATATGAAAAATGTGAATAAATTTAAACCTAAAAATGCCTAAATATAAGAGTGCGCTGGTGAATGAGAATGAATCCATTTAAGTAAAGTACAGTAAGGTAGGATAAAGATTATACCATTATAGGTAGCCACCTATACTGAGATTTGCCAAGAATTCTCGTTGATACGAAAGCTCAGCTACTAAACCTAGAGGGGCGTAAAAACAAGGGTGAGTAGCCTGAAAAATAAAGTTCTATAAAAACCTTTTTGAAAACGTTATAATCCCTCGCTATAAAACAAGTATAGTTTCCAAAATATACATACTATGTATAGTATGAAAATACCTACCGTAACTTCACAAGATTGCCATACGTCGCAATATGGCATAAATGAACATATAACAACCAATAACACATAATCTCACCTAAGCAAACATATCATATCGGGTGCTCATCGACACATGCTGACACACGAGTTCATGCAGAGGTATTTTGACATAAACATGACTGGGTGTAACAATAATATACGCTCTAGTGCTACATTCACGTGAAGACTAGCGTTATTCGCGGTCACATACGAGTCGGAGTTGTCTATTGCAACCTATACGACAGGACTTGCACCTACTTGGATCCAAGGTGAGCATGCGATGCTGATGTGAACATACACGTGAAAGATTGGCCTTGGCCCTAGGCGAGCACTAACACCGGTGCAACAAACGATTAACAAATAACATAATTATAATCATACCATAGCCATTCAACAATTCTAGTCAATATCATATGATTCATGACCATAAATATAATTAACGCATCCCCTTATAATAAGCTTACCAGTGCATCCTGTAGGATTATTTCATCATTTCCCAACAATAAGGCATTTCTTATAAGCTTAAGTCTAATCATGGCAATCACGTAGAGAATTTATTAATAATTGTATATATGGAAACTATCCAATATATATCAAAGAAAATACCCACTCACAGATCATGTTGTTGAGTCGAACCCGCCTTATAGCATCAAGAATCCTTGCGAAGCGTTTCGCCTAGAAACGAAACCATTTAGGTAAATATAACGTATTAATGTAATTACACATTTTCGTACAAAGTACAGCTAATAAAGGAACTATCTTAAAATGGTCGAATTTCGAAAAACAGATGGTGGATTTGAAATCAGGGCGTCGAAATACGCTAAGGAGGGTCCTCAGCATATTTTTTTAAAAAGTCAACAGAATAGTCAACGATCAACCCTAAAAAACCAACCGAGACGCCCCGGTGGTCAACTACGTTAAAACTTTGGAATTTCAACAAATGGATGTCAAAAATGAACTCGGGACGTCGAAATTAGCTTAGAAGGGTTTCCGAGAAATTTTGAAAAAGATAACACAAGGAATATTCTGGCCCAATTAGAACCGGGCTAGGCAGGCATATCGGCCCAAAGATTTGGGGCCGGTTGGGCTAAAGATTTAGGCTTAAGGCCCTTTTTTTTCCCCTTCTTCTTCTCCGGCTGTTCGTCGGATTCTGGACAGCAAATTCCCGAGCTTCAAATGAGCTCAAAACTCAACCATTTTTCCCATTATTCCTACCAAAATGAAGATTAAAAGGAGAGGAAGAGAAATATACCTATATGAGTTCTTGTCGTGGCTGGAGTTAGCTAGGAAACAGTTCGAAAGTTGTCGGCTTTCTCGCTAGAAACTGGGCAATTTCCCCAACGTGCGTTTCTGCATCAAATCATCCCTCAAACACATGTACAATAACTCAATCATCCTCAAAATGAGATGGGAAAGACAAATGGAGTGGTCCTGACCCTTACCTTGGTTGGAAAATGGTGATGTCTCACCAGAAAACATGGAGTGATAACTGGTCTTCTTCTTGGCCTGGTGTACAAGTTCTAAAGCTTTGCTTCCATTAGGTCTTAGGTTCGAAGGCTGGTATCCATCAAGATGAAGAGTTTGATGATGGTTAAGCATGTGTATATGTATGTATGTGGTGGCGGAGAGGGAAGGTTGCCAGAGATGGGAGAGTTTGAGAGAATGAGGAAGGGGAAGATCACTGTGAAGTGGTCATTGCTGGCGGCGGAAAAGCTCACCGAAGTAGCAAGTTGTGTGGGTCGCCGATTTCTCTGTATTTGCAGAGAGAGAGCTAAGGGTTAGATGAGAGAGAAAAGAGAGAGTTTTAAAATAAGGGAGATGGTGCTCCAGAAAGAAGGGAGTCACGGGGACAAAGAGGAGAGGTGACCCACGTGGATAGGTCTCATTGGCTCACAAAACAAAGCCACAAATGACAAAATAGAAAAATAACTCCTGAAAATGTGAAATTACTAAAACATCCTTCGTATACGTAGTTCCGCAAAATTTTAACCGTAGCTCCGATTTCTATTCTGATTGGGCCTATGTGAACATACCATTGAGTACTTCGAGAATACGCAAAAAGAGTAGTTTCCACATGTCATGGAAAAACGCCCAACGAAATTCAAACATCCTCGCCTCTAAGGGCATCTTCGTAAAAGCACTCTTTTAAAATTTATAAAATTGTAAGATTAAGGACGAGTTGCCACAATCTACCCACCTTAAAAAAAAAATTTCGTCCCCAAAATTTGAAATCATTTGCTATACATAATATACTCCATAAAGGTAGGAAGAAAGTATATATAAGGAAGAAGTCAAGCTAGAGCGGTTGCATAAAAGAGAATGTCATTCCATCACAATTAGAGTGCAGTGATTCATCTTTCATGCTCCCCAAACTCATACTTTCCTTCTCCTTCAACACCATACTATAATATAATATCTTTAGAAAAGCATAAGGTCAAAAATATATACATAATAACACGTCGTAAAAAATACGTATGTAATATCGTGAAAATTTTAAAATAGTTGTACTAAAATCCAAACTAAACATAGAAAAATTTCACCTACGCACTTGTAGCATCACGTACTCTGAAAATAAGCATGTAGTATCTTTGGGTCACGCCCAAATAAAGAAATAAATAAATATATAACTATATAAACAAATAGATGAAAATACTAAAGTAGAAGGTCTAATTGTCTACTTACTTAACGTACCCAACAAATAAGTTATTGATACTACAATCTGCAGCCTGCAATACCGACAACTCATTGTTGTTCCGATAAGTAACTAACCAATTCCCAAGGTGCAATATTACCATCATGCCCCCCATTGGGAAATACACATACATCGTCTGATTAGCACCTTAACCGCGCTCACGTACTACCCTCTCGGGCAACAACGTAACCAACACAATTTCCTAAATTGTAATCACGATTATTCAAATACATGTTCAAATTACTTATCTATCAATTATGTATTATGCGTAGAATCTCTGTACCACAACTTAACAGTACCATAGCCAAACCAGAATAATAAATATTGTTGTACGCAACATAAGCAGAGATAAGTGTCTAACATAACTGGGTAAAAGTGTAAAACATACAAAAGTAATATGTTCTCTAAGGTCCGAATAGTTCATTCAGACCGACCGTTAGTCTGAGGGTGAAATGTGGTTTGTGACAAAACTTAATACACATAACCTTAAAGAAGGCTTCTTAAGACTTTGGAAGTGAAACATCACCTCAGTGAGATACAGTAATGTCATGTACACTATGCAACTGGACATTGTAATTCACATATGCCTCAGCAAGTAGATTCGTTATGAAATTTTCTATCGAATTTAGAGAAAAATTGTTAAGCAGACTAAAAGAACAATCAAGAATTGAGAGTCAAAACAAGTCCATCAATCTAGAATACAAAGTAACTAGATTAATGCATAACATCTTGCTACAACGGTAGTTTCTGGAATATTCAATTATTAACGACAACGATTTGCTTAATAGAGTATTTGTTGGGTGATTGAAAAATTAATGGTCACAACTAAAACTTCAATGTCCGAGCAATTCTTCTAGACGGTCTATGTGCATAAAAAATAATACGAAGTGTAGTGGGGTCGACACGTACCCAAGGTTGACTGGAATGCCTTCCAGCACAAAGATGTGACTATGGGATCACGGTCAAAGTAGATGTTGATTGAAACGTCAGAAAAGTCTGATAAGTTCAAGAATGAGAAATTTTGATAAGTGGTCTAAAATGTAGTCATTTCAGACCAAAAGAAGGTGAGTTGACTTGTCAAGTTGATAGATAATCATCGAAACATCATCATAACATCCATTTGTAGGAGATACCTCGTACTGGGAGATTATGGTGATATTTCCCATCTCTTTTCAAATACAGTAAGTGATTATAACCACTCGAGTG